TTGGGCTTTTTTTCCCCCCACTTCAGGCACAAACTGTTGCTGTGCTTTGGTTGCTGCCATTAACTCTCCTTCACACACTGATAAATATTAAACAGATGGTGGTTTGCTTTGGTGCAGCTGCTTAACCCCTTGTGGGAGTGGCCAGTTGGTGAAATGCAGAGGTTTTGAAGCTCAGGCTGTAATCCTAAATACAGTCATGATTTCCTTGAGCTCTGGATTTCTGGGGAGGTACCTGGGGAAGTGAAGCTCCAAATATGCACCCCATGGAGTAAAAAAAAAAAGTCCCCTTTGAGTTTCTGATCCTCAAAATGTGGGTGCAGTTCTGGGCCCTTCACTGCAAGAAGGATCTTGAGGTGCTGGAGCAGGTCCAGAGGAGACAACAAGGCTGGTGAAAGGACTAGAGAGAAAATCTTAAAGGGAGAGGTTGAGGGAGCTGGGGGTGTTTAGCCTGGAGGAGACTCAGGGGGGACCTTCTCACTCTCTACAACCACCTGAAGGGAGGTTGTGCTCAGGTGGGATCAGGCTTTTCTCTCAGGCAGCCAGTGACAGGACAGGAGGGCCTGGCCTGAAGCTGCTCCAGGGGAGGTTTAGGATGGATATCAGGAAGCACTTCCTCATGGACAGCGTGATGAGACATTGGAATGGACTGCCTAGGGAAGTGGTGGAGGCACCATCCCTGGTGCTGTTGGTCATAGGCTGGACTTGATAATCTTAAAGGTCTTTTCCAGCCTTGGTGATTCTGTGATTCCAGCCCCGTGCCCTCTTCTTTACTTTCTTTTTACTTGTCCTTTACTTTCACAGGGACAACATTCAGCTTAGCACCTTGCCTGCAGTTGCAATTGCTGCCAGTTTACCTGGAATTATAGCAGGACGATTCAGGAATTGTATTGGGAACGTAATTTGCATCATCAGGTCAGCACGCTGGCTGCCAGCCTTGACCTTCTCAGCGCTGCATCAGCTCCTGCTGCCCAAACCTTGAGTTGGTTTCTTCAATGTTTGGTGGTTTGTTTTTTTTGTTGTTGTAGCTTTTTGTGATTTTTTTTTTTTGGTGTGGTTTCTTTTTTCCTCACCTCTTTTGAGTTGGTTTCTAACCTGAGGCATTGCCTGAAACAATCCCGACGTGACATCATTCGGGGCCTTTTTAGCAACGGGCTTATTTGTTTCAAAAAGCAACATGCAGATGTTTTTCTAAGGAGAAGAGATGTTTGCTTTTCCTCCTACCAGCCAGCCCTGATCCAAAGAGGACAAGCTGATACACCAGCTTTTTCTGGAGCTGTGCACAGGTTGCTTTGGGAATCAACCCAAGTTGGATCAACTCAAGAAGTAACACCTTTGTGTTCTAAGAGCTCCAAGTCAGGGTCCTTGAGATTATCTTTTGGCACAAGTGCGTTTCCCAATAGCCAGATGGGTTTCTCACAGCTCTGAAAATCATAGAATCACAGATCACAGAATCATAGGTGTTGGAAGTGAAGATAACCTCTGAAGAGTTATCCAGTCCAACCCCCCTGCTGCAGCGGGAACATCCAGGGCAGGTCACTCAGGAAGGCATCCGGACGAGTCTTGAAGTCTCCAGAGAAGGAGACTCCACCACCTCTCTGGGCAGCCTGTCCCAGGGCTCCATCACCCTCACAGGAAAGAAGTTTCTCCTCATGTTGAGGTGGAACTTCCTGTGTTCTAACTTGGTGCCATTTCCCCTTATTGTATCACAGGCACCACTGAAAAGAGATGGGTCCATTCTTGACATCCACCCTTCAGGTATTTGTAGACATGAATAAGGACCCTTTTCAGTTTTCTCCAGACTAAACAGCCCTAGGTCTTTCAGCCTTTCCTCATATGACAGATGTTCCAGTCCCTTCACCATCCCTGTAGCCTCTGTTGGACTCTTTCCAGCATATCCCAGTCCTTCTTGAACTGGGGAGCCCAGAACTGGACACAACACTCCAGATGTGGTCTTGGGAGGGCAAAGTAGAGAGGGAGGAGAACCTCCCTTGACCTGCTGACCACACTATTCTTAATGCATCCTGAGATACTATTGGATCTGCTGGGTCTCAAATATCTAAACCCTGTGCTTTGCAGTGTTTACTTTAAAAAGCCTCTGACTGAGCTCAAAGAGACGGAGATTTTTATTTAATTGGATTTTTTTTAAGGTGTAATTATCCACAGCCCCATGTCTCGTTAACCATTGAGCTCAGGAAGTGCTTTGGGTGGGGTGGTCCCAAGGCTCTGGCTGGACCGTATTTTTGGGGTTGCCTGGTGACTGATTAGGACTTGAAAATAGTTATTTGTAGAAGCGTGGGCCTGGGAAGTGCCCGGCTGTCCGCACAGTGGAAACAGAGGAATCTTTTCAGTCAGGAAAAATCTCCAGTTGCAGTTTTGGCTGCTGGGATTCACTGCAAATCCTTCTCTAAATGTGGAGATGAACCATTTGCTTGCTCTGCAGAAATGTGTGTGTCTGTGCCTGGGGGGTGCTGGCAGACCCCACAGCAGCCTGGACATGGGCTGGTGGGTGCCTCAGTTTCCCCCACATAGCAGGGGGGTGACAGCACCTTTTCTGCCAACCTCAGCCACCTTTCTGAGATGTTCAGGGAGATGTTGTGAACGTGCAAAGGAGAAAAGAGTTGATTGATCCGTCTGTGTTTAAAGCTGAGAAGGGATTAGTGATCCCACTGTAAGGATGTGCTCTTATGCTTATTCCTGGACAAAAACCAGTTTGTTAAAAAATGATGGTTTGAGGTGTGGCAGTTTTGTGGGTGAGGGCATGAAGTGATAGGAGAAGGGGGAATGGCTTTCAAGTGGAAGAAGGGTGATATAGATTAGATATTAGGAAGAAATTGCTCACTATGAGGGTGGTGAGACACTGGCACAGGTTGCCCAGAGCAACTGTGGCTGCCCCATCCCTGGAAGTGTTCAGGGACAAGTTGGATTGGTCTAGTGGGAGGTGTCCCTGCCCATGCAGGGGGTTGGGATCTTTAAGATCCCTTCGAACCCAAACCAGTCTGGGATTCTATGATCTCATACTGGGAGATTCCTCCCAGATTCAGCCCAGATTTGTTGAACAGCAGGTAGCCTGGAAAACTGTGGTTGGTGTGGCAGGTCCAAAACATCCCAATCCTTCTGCTCATTACGTTCTCACCTTTGTCACCATCCTCCATCTCCCTGCAGCTGGATGACCTCTACCTGATCGCGCTCATTCACCGCCGAGATGTCCTGTCCCTTCGGGACCTCACGGCCGAGCACCTCCCGCTGCTGAGGAACATCTTGCAAGAGGGCAAGGTGGGTGCAAGGCCTGGCCAAGGAAGGCTCCATGGTGCCACTTTCAAGGCATTTCAGGGCTGCTCAGCATTTCTCCCACCAGCTACCAGAGCCCAGCCCCATCCTCCCCATATTGATAATTCTCCTTCCCAACCCTTTGGCCATTTTCACAGAATCACCAAGGCTGGAAAAGACCTTTAAGATCACCAAGTCCATCCTATGACCTGACACCACCACATCCCCAGACCATGGCACTAAGTGCCACATCCAGCCTTTCCTTCAACACCTCCAGGGATGGCGCCTCCACCACTTCCCTGGATGGTCCATTCTAATGTCTTTATCACCCTCTCCATGAGGAAGTGCTTCCTGATACCCAACCTAAACCTCCCCTGGAGCAGCTTCAGGTCAGGCCCTCTTGTCCTGTCACTAGTTGTCTGGAAAAAGAGCCCGACCCCACCTGACTACAACCTCCCTTCAGGTAGTCGTAGAGAGTGACAAGGTCCCCCCTGAAATTTTCCAGCCCTGTTACAGGGTGTCCTTGGTCGATGGGTGTGTGACAAGTGTCTCCTCCCTTCACTGCATTGGAAATTTGGAAAGTAATTGCACTGGGGAAAGTGGAGATTAATGAAGAGATTAGTCAGGGGGTTGCAGGAACCGAGCTCCAGTGCCAGAGTTTGCTGGTGCTGGTTGTGGCTTTAATTACACCAGCTGGGAACAGGACCCGCCGCGTGAGCCGAGGCGATAAGGGATGGAAGGGAAAATGATCTGAGCACGTCCTGTCAGCGGGGGGGAAACTGGGGCAGCTGAAGGCATGGCTGCCATGGAAGGGAGCAGGGGGAGAGCTCTGACCTTCCCTCTCCTCGCTCTGGGGCTGGGGGAAGCAGAGATCCCTTGTGCCTTCCTCCCTGCCTTCCGTGCCATCCAGGGATGCTCCTTTCAAGTCCTGACTGGGGTTTTTTCCACCCCCAGGAGGCTGTAATGAAGCGTTTTGGGGTTCCCAGCTCCCAGCTGCGGATCTACCTGCATTACCAACCCTCCTACTATCACCTGCACGTCCATTTTACTGCCCTGGGCTATGACGCCCCGGGCACCTCCGTGGAGAGGGCCCATCTCCTGGCAGATGTGATTGACAACCTGGCCACTGACTCCATGTTCTACCAGAAACGGGCTTTGACCTTCGCCCTTCGGGCTGACGAGCTTCTCTTTAAGAAATTCCAGGAGGCTGGAAGAGTGTGAGCTGCCCAAGGCTCTTTTGTATCTTTTTATTTTTAATAAATGCCCATTTTCAGGGTTGTTTTTTTTTTTAAGGTTTTGGTGCTTTTAATTTTTTTTAACTCTTGATTTTGTACAAATTGGGCCTGTTGCTGTGGAAACCACATCTTCTGCTCAAGTCAATTAAAACATTGAGTAACAACCCCTCTTAGTCTGCTGGTTTTTAGCAGGGTCGTAGCACCAGAGTGGGCACCTCTGTCTTCTCCACCTAAAAGCCAACCCCTGCCACCAAACATCAGCCCAAAACATCAGCCCATCCATCAGGAGCCAGAGGGCTCCAAGAAAACCCAACATCCTTGGAGAGTTTCACTTCTTTCCCATGGATTGACCCCTGGGAGCAGGACTGCAGCTTCCCTAGGGCAGGGAGAGGTTTCTGACACCAAATAAATTACTTTAACCTGAGTCCTTGTCCCTCCCAGCTGTGGGCTTCTGAAGAAAACACCAGGATCCCCAGCTGGAGCCATCACCTTTACCCCGCTAATTAGTCACACATCCGGCTTAGACAGCTGGCTTAAAAGGGCAACCCCTCCCTGCCCCGGGCTTCTCATGGTTTTACAAGGTTTCCTCAGTGCACTAATTAAAAAAAAAAACCCACACCATCAAATACATAATGCTCTTGCTTCTGCCAAGGTGGTGGCTGGGGTGGGCACTAAATGCCTCCCTGCAGCAAGAGGGTCGTGGCGGAGGAGCCTCCCCAGCCCCTGGGTGACTTTGCTGTCATTCTCCAGCTCCAATGAGGTTTTTCTTCCTCTTCCAGTGAGATCCCAGCTTCTTCCTCGCTGCTTGGCTCTTCAAACATTCCTCACACTGTGACTTGCCTCTTGTGGTGGGTAAAACCCAATTTTATGTACAGAAAGAGGTTTAGTCCATCGACCCAGCCATCTCCTCCCTGGTGTCTTCTCTGGACACCAGCCTCTGAAAACTTCATGAGTTCTTACTGCCAGAAAGGGCTCTGGTTTCTGGTCAGCTGGTAACCAAGGACATAATTGCAGGAATCATCTTGCCAGCTACCCCAGTTATCGACTTCTTTCAACACGCTTAGCTCTGAGGGTTTTTTTTTTTGCTGATGGGGGTGAAAAAAAAAGAAGTGATTTATTTTCACTATGCTGCCCTGTGGTGGAGAGCTCTGTGATGGGGCTGGGCTGCAAGTGTCATCATCAGGGCTGCCTGGAGCTTTGTTTGGCTCATCCGATTAATAAATATTCAGGTCAGGCAGTTCCCTGGTACCTTTTAGCAGCAGGGGAGAGGCCAAGCAGCTGGATGCAGCTGCTTTTCCTTCTTTCACAGCAGAAATGCCACCTGTGGAAGCTGGGATCACCTGTGGAAGCTGGAGTCACCTATGAAAGTTGGGGTCTCCTGTGAGGGGGGGAGTCCTGCCCTCTTGTTTCAGATCTGCCATCTGAGGAGAGCACATCTGGGGCCAGAATGGATTTGGGAGCTGATTTGGGAGTGGACCTGGAGATGATCAGTGTGGTTGGCTGACTCCTGGGTCTCATCAGGGAGAGTCCAACAGAGGCTACGAGGATGATGAAGGGACTGGAACACCTGTCTTCTTAGGAAAGACAGAGACCTGGGGTTTTTCAGTCTGGAGAGAAGACTGAGAGGGATCTAATTAATGTCTATAAATACATGAGGGCATCAAGAAGGCAGGGACAAGCTCTTGTCACCTGTGCCCTGTGATAAGATGAGGGGCAATGGATTCAAACTCAAGCACAGGAAGTTCCACCTCAACATGAGGAAGAACTTCTTTGCTGTGAGGGTGACAGAGCCCTGGGACAGGCTCCCCAGAGGGGCTGTGGAGTCTCCTCTGGAGACTTTCCAGACCTGTCTGGGTGCCTTCCTGAGTGATCTGACCCAGGTTTAGGTCCTGCTGTGGCAGGAGGGGTTTGGAGGTCCCTTCCAACCCCTGACATTCTGTGAGTCTGTGATTCTGGGATCATCTCTGGGTTTTAAGTTCCTATGGGAAAGGGATGAATTTTTTTCCATACCAGAGCATTTTCTGTACCCAGACAGAAGATGATCTCCCTGGGTGAGGGAATATCATGGTTTTGTATCTCCAGCCCAGGAATGGAGATGGTGAAATGACAGATGAGACCATCCTGTCACCCAGAGAGCTTCTGAGGTATTAAAAAAAAACCCAAAACTGTCTTGAAAATAGACTTTTTAGGGCTGTGCCAGACGACTGAGCAGCTCATCTTCCACAGACCATCTGTCTGCTCTCACTGGAGGAATCGTTTCTCCTGGGAGACTAGGAACGGTACCTGATGCATGGAGCCTGGGATGGGGCTGAGAGATGTCTTTTGGTGGATCTGTCACTGGAGCTGTGGCCTTGGAAGAATTTATTGAGGTCCTGGGGCTGGGTTTACAGAGCCAGGCAGCATTTCTGGGGTCTGGGTGGAGGCAGAGTGAGCCTGAGGTGGTCAGCAGGACAAAGCTGATTTGTGCTGGCCATGAATCGCCCCATTCTTGTCCCTCTGGAGCAGATGCCATGAGCCTTGCCCGGGGCCCCTCCAATGATCTTCCAAACCATTTTCTTGAAGTGAATAGCTTTGGAGCAGATGGTGGCAGAGCTTCTTACAAATCTACTTCTCAAACAGGATTCCCCACCCCTCCCCCACTCTTCTCTGAGTTCCTTGGTGCTCCTCATGTTGAATTAATCCAACTGGCAATTTATCTTTTGTAAATTAAATATTAGGGCTGGGTGTAGTCGTTAGCGATGAGTACCTACCCGGCCAGTGCTCCTGGCCTCCTGCTCAGGCAGCAAATACATTCCTCAAGTTTTTTGGTGGGTCTGCAAAGTGTGTTGTCTGCCTGAGCTGCAGCAGCCACTGAGAGCTCTTTGCTGAGCTTTGCATCCAGCCAAGGGGGCCCTTGGGAGATGGGTTCCCCAAGGAGGCGTCGCCCCATCGCTGCCCCATGGGTGCACAACTGTGTTCTGGATGTCCCGAGGCTCCTACAGGGTGGACACACCCAGTGCTCACTGCTCAGCACAGGATCACTGTGTTTCCTCAGAGCTCAGTGAGGCTGGAGCCACAGCACTGAGGTGTCTCAGCGCGGACATCTGGGACATTCCACACAGTGTGGGAGATGTGGAGCTGGAGCAGCTCCCCTGTGCTGGTTTGCATCTCTGCTTTTCTTCTGCTTGAGGTCCTGTGAGGGGAGTACTCTGGGATAGAGCCCATCACCTCCAAACAAGCCTGTCCCACCAGCAGGAGGGAGCTGGGGACCAAGAAGATCCTGGGAAGTGAATCTTTGCAGCCTCTCTTAATAGTCTGTCTTAGGGGGATGGTAAAAACAGACATTTGGGAGGCATTATTACTGCTGGAGTTTCATTGAGCGGCGTTTAATGGTTTCAGGTGCAATAAACCTTGCAGGGAACCCAAGAGACCGGAGGACCTGAAGATCCTTCAAGCAAATCCCAGCTCCCCCCAGCCCCGCTGAACTGCTGCCCAAGGAAGCACCCTGGGATTGTCTATGAGCTGGTGGCAATTAAAGCCTAATTACAGTGGGCTTGCCTGTCACCACGGGTAAAACCCCATCGTAGGTTGAGCGACAAAGTGAGGATGCTCCTAAATTATTGATCTGGTTGCTTAGTTAGCCTTGACAGTAGCAGAGCCAGCAGCTCAGCAGCTATTTCATCAATTAATATTGTCATTTTCTCAATATTGTTTTATCAGTTAATATTATTTTATGAATGAATGGTGTTGGACACCTGTCTTCAAATGGGGCCAGTGACCTCTGGGTTCTTCCTTTCTAGCCCAACAAAGAGGAATCCACTTGGCTGCCTGCTACTGGAGCTGGGATTTCCCATGATTTCCCACATGAAGATCCATGTTAATCTCACTAATTATCTCTGGGGTTGGTAAAAACCCACCCTGGAGCAAGGGGGATAGATTTTGGACCCTAAATAAAAGCCTTGAGGAAGTTTGTGATGATGGGGTGGGACTGGAATCTCATGGGGGAGCGGGGCAGCCGGGCACGGGGTGTTCTGGTGCTGGGGATTAAATTCTTTAATTAATTCATTCTGAAATTAAAAAAACCAACAATCCAAAATGGATGATTTTAAGGAAGACCAGCCCCATCCCTGGAGCCTCCAGGCATCATCTCAGTGGAGGACAGATGCAAACCCCTCAACCCTTGCTTGGGAACGCAAATCTTCTAGGGAACGGCTCTTATTTTGAGGGGATTTTGGGGAGATCTGTGCAAAACGAGGGGAGTGGGGTGGGGGGGTGGGACCCCACATCCTTCTTCCTGCCCTGGCTCTGATTTTGGGGCTCCCCTGGGCACGGGGCGGGGAGAAAAGCGCCCCCCCGACCCCAGCAGCGAGGAGGGACCTACTCGCTCCCGCTCCCGGGATGCTCTTCCCTCCCTCCCTGCCTCCCGGCGCTGCGCACGCGCGCCCG